TTGCCATGTGTCAATACCCTATTGGACAGTTTAAATTTCAAGCAACTTTTCTATCCAATCGACACTTGACAACAATTCAAGTGTCAAACAACGTGTCAAAAATCAGTGTACAAATAGTAAAGTTCAATTAGTAAGAACCTTGCGACATGTACACTATGCTGTGCACTTTAGTTAACACTTTACCACGTGATATTACTCTACTGGACAGTTTAAATTTCAAACAATTTTGCCATCCGATTGAGACTTGATAACAATGCAGGTGTCAAACAACTTGTCAAAAATTAGTTTACAACTAGCAAAGTTCAATCGGTAAGGACCTTGCTACATGTACACCATGGTGTAAACTTTAGTTTGCACTTCGCCACGTGACATTACCTTGTTAAACAATTTAAATTTCAAACAGTTTTCCCATCGAATTAACACTTGACAACAATGTAAGTATCAAATAACATGTCAAAAATCAGTCTACAAATAGCAAAGTTCAATTAGTATGAACCTTGCTACATGTACACTATAGTGTACACTTTAGTTTACACTTTACCACGTGACATTACCCTGTTGGATAGTTTAAATTTCAAATTATTTTCCCATCCAGTTGATGCTCAACAATTATGTAAGTGTCAAACAACATGTTACAAATCAGTGTACAAGTAGCATAGTTCAATCAGTAAGAACCTTGCGACATGTACACTATGGTGTACACTTTAGTTTACACTTTGCCACGTGACATTACCCTGTTGGACAGTTTAAATTTCAAACAATTTTTCCAACTAATTGACACTTGTAAACAACAAAAGTGTCCAACAATATGTTAAAAATCAGTGTACAAGAGTGTACAAGAGCAAAGTTCAATTGGTAAGGACCTCGCCACATGTAAACTATGGTGTACATTTTAGTTTACACTATGCCACTTGACATTACCCTGTTGGACAGTTTAAATTTCAAACAGTTTACCCATCCAATTAACACTTGACAATAATATAAGTGTCAAACAACTTGTCAATAATCATTCTACAAATAGCAAAGTTCAATCGGTAAGGACCTTGCTACATGTACACTATGGTGTACACTTTAGTTTACACTTTGCCACGTGACATTACACTATTGGACAGTTTAAATTTTAAATAGTTTTTCCATCCAATTGACACTTACAACAATGCAAGTGTCAAACAACGTGTTGAAAATGAGTGTACAAATTGTAAAATTCAATTAGTAAGAACCTTGCAACATGTACACTATGGAGTACACTTTAGCTTACACTTTGACACGTGACATCACCTTGTTGGATAGTTTAAATTTCAAACAATTTTCCCATCCAATTGACACTCGACAACAATGCAAATGTCAAACAACGTGTAAACAATCAGTGTACAAATAGCAAAGTTCAATCGGTAAGGACCTTGTCACTTGTACACTTTAATTTATATTTTCCATGTGTCATTACCTTGTTGCCAAATTAAATTTTGAACAATTTTTCCATTCGATTGAGACTTGTCAACAATGCAAGTGTCAAACAACTTGTTAAAAATTAATTTACAAGTAGCAAAGTTCAATCGGTAACTACATGTACACTATGGTGTACACTTTAGTTTACACTTTACCATGTGACATTTTCCTGTTGGACAGTTTAAATTTCAAACAATTTTCCCATCCAATTGACACTTGACAACAATGCAAGTGTCGAATGATAAGGGTGTTTTTGTACACTTATTTAGGTCACAAACATGATTTAATAACGAGCAAAATGATTGAATTGTGACTTCTCGTACATTTGTGAATTGTAGGGAACAATGATGAACATGGTAAAATTCAGGAGAAAAGACGCGAAAAAGGACTAAAGTGATGCAAAGTGAAAGTTCTGGGACCAAAAGTGTATATATCCAAAAGTTGATCCGATGAACAAATTTAGCCAATTACCAGTTGACGATATCATGGGTTGATAAAATGAAAAGAATGAAGCGAGGCTGCCAAGAAGTAAATGATGCAAGTGGGAGGACCAAAATGTACATCTGCCATAGTAGATAGTACTATACGACTACATAGTACTATCCTCTATGCTGTCGTATAGTAGCATACCGCAAACAAAGATGCCCCAAAATTTTACTCTATGCGACTGCATAGAGCAATTATCGAGGAAAAATTTAGTTTCCTTTTTCTTCTGAAACTTTTATGGAAACAATAGTTTTAGGGTCCTATAAATACAAAAACTTGACCAGAATGTAAGAGACATCATTTTTACATGTTTTTGGGAGATTTTGAAGGAGAAACGAAGCATAGAATAAGAGAACATCGCGCCAAGTGAAGATAGGATTGAAGATTGATTCGGGTGATGTCGTTTCTTCAAATATGTTTATGTTTTGTTCTTTTTAGCATGTTAGGCAAGATTTATCACTGCTAGGAGATCGATGAACCTTGTAATGCTTCGTTTAATTGTTGTTTTGGATTTTTGATGTATTTGAACACAGGTTCTGAATTTGATCGATTTATTACGTTTTTATTTTCATATGATTAATGTGCACGTAATTATATGATTGTGGTGGCCTGTTTGACACATTCGAAAGAAGGAAAATAGGTTCAACATAGTATAAATCATCATAGGGTCCGATAGGGCATAGAAATATACCTCTATGCCTTGTGTGAATCATTGGATATTCTTGAATTTATAATGCATGTCAGTATGTTAGTATTCGTCATAGAAATATAGTTGAATCACATATTAGGATAGGTTTGGCATTGCTCGAGAGAGAGTGCTAAATTAAAATAGGAATATCGATTCATCTTTTGCGAATTTGTGTATCAAATTTGTATAATTGACAATTGAACGAGTATTGCTTGGGGATTCGTGATCCTAATGATTTCATAAAAATTCTAGTTAAATTGCATCCAAGTTGTTTTACACTTAGTATAATTCTTCATTCATATTTGCATAAACGATTACATTTTGTTAGATAAAGTACAAAACATCAATTTGGTTGTCGTGTTTCGATTAAGGTCATACTAGACTAATTTGAACTAAGTCAATCCTTGTGGGATCGATACTTGGACCCATAGTCCATTTTACTACTTGTTAACAAACCGTGCACTTACGGTGGATTTTAAATCGGAATAAATAATTTCGCGAACAAGTTTTTGGTGCCATTGCCGGGGATTGAAATTTGGTTTTAATTTTATCTTTTGTGACACTAATTCGAACTTATCTAGATTAGTAATAGCTAGATTACTAGGTTTAGTTTGTTATTACTTCAATTTAATTTTGTGCTAATTTTGCAATCTCAGGGCTTGTATGCACCTGATCAAGATTTGGTTTCCATCGAACGCACATTTCGTCATAGGCAAAGAGAAGCAAGAGCAGCACAACAAATGGTTGATGAGCAAAATCGATCGGTAATTCCACTCAACGAAGGCATGGCAGTTAAAGATGATGGGAATACAGTACTCGAGGACTTCATGGCTCCGTTGGTGGTCCAAAGTCAATCTAGCATTGTATATCTTCCATTTGGGCAACTAAATTTCCAGCTAAAAACAAATGTGATTCAACTCTTTCAAAATGGGCATCAATACCACGGGATGGCTAGTGAAAATCCGCATACACACATATCCCAATTTTTGGATAAGTGCCAATACGTTAGGTATCAAGGTATCTCGGACGATCCAATAAGACTGTGGTTGTTTCCACACACTTTACGGGATAAGGCACTTGAATGATTGGATTCGTTTCCCATCGCAAGTATCACCACTTGGAACGAGCTAGCCCATAAATTATGTACTAAGTTCTTCTCGCCAACTAAGGTAGCCAAAATGCAGCATGATATCTCTATATTCAACCAATGTGAGTCCGAATCATTCAAAGAGGCATGGAATCGTTTCAAAAATAGGTTAAGGAAGTGCCCATAACATGGCTTTGACAAGAAGACACAGATCTGATTTTCCTACACTGGACTACTTCCATCCTTCAAGAGCATGGTGGATTCATCATCTGACGGGTCTATCTCCACAAGTACAATTGACGGAGCATAGGAGCTATTTGAGAGAATGGCTACAACTTTAGCCATGTGGTCTACAAATCGAGTGGTTCAGAAGAGATCGTCAGGGGTTTATGAAACAGATACTTTTTCAGCACTGTCCGCAAAGATAGACTCTTTGTTCCATAAGGTTAAGAGCATTTCATAGACCGCCACTATTAAACAAGTCAAGAAGCCAAGTTGTGAAGAATGTGGAGCAAACCACAATACTGTTAATTGTACAATTCTCGCACAGGGGGTCGACAATGCAGATTTTGTGCAATGGGATCGACGCCAACAGAACAACCCACATTCGGAAACCTTCAATCAGGGCTGGAGAAAACATCCAAACTTCTCGTAGAACAATCAAAATCAAAATAGACCACAAGGTCAATATCAGTAGTAGGATAAAAAGCCACCATTGGAAGAGATGTTTGAAAAGTTCATGGTAACAACAACAACCAGTTCATGCGAAAGACAGATGCAACTTTTCAAGACCAAAGTGCAGCAATCAAAAATTTGAAGACACAAATGGGACAGATGGCAATCTCCATAACGGGTAGAGCACCAGGAAATCTGCCCAGTAACACTTAAATCAACCCTAAGGAGCATGCAAAGGCTATAACAACCAGAAGTGGAGTACAACTACCAGAGATACATGTAAAAAGACTGGTAGCTAGGAAGGAGTCAGCACCAATCTCAGATGACAAAATTGTAGAACAGACCAAACAAATAACAGGGGATGTGGTTAAAGAGAATTCCAATACATCACGGGGTACAGCTACCATTCCTATCAAGCCTCATGAGCCTCTTATTCCATTCCTGCAGAGGTTGAAAAAGTACAAATTGGATCAGCAATATAGTAAGTTTCTGGAAGTCTTCAAGAAACTACACATCAACATTCCATTTGCTAAAGCACTTGTTCAGATGCTGAGTTATGCAAAATTCCTAAAGGATATCCTCTCCAACAAGTGAAAGATAGAAGAACATGAAACAGTGATGCTAACTAAGGAATGCAGTGCTAGAAGCCAGAGAAAGTTGCCTCCAAAACTAAAGGATCCAGGGAGTTTTACTGTACCTAGCACTATTGAGAATTGTCATTTTGATAAAGCGTTGTATGATTTAGGTGCAAGTATTAATTTAATGCCTCTCTCTGTGTTTAGGAAACTCGACTTGGGAGAAGCTAAAGCCACAATAGTTACATTACAGTTAGAAGATCGATCCCTTACACATCCAAGAGGAATCATTGAAGACGTATTGGTAAAAGTAGAGAAATTCATATTTCCAGCCGATTTTCTTATCTTGGATATGGAGGAAGATAAGGATGTTCCACTTATATTGGGGTGACCTTTCCTAGCTACTGGAAGAGCGATTGTTGATGTTCAGAAAGGATAGCTTATATTGAGGCTTGGCGAAGAGCAAATCTCGTTCAACGTGTTCAAGGCAATGAAATTCCCTACTGAGTCAGACAGCTATTTCTAGATCGATGTAATTGACAGAATAATTCAAGATACATTTCGGCTACATCATCCTTCCAATGCTTACGAGGCGTGCATTGCACATTCTTAGTCCACTCACACTGATTCTAGTGAGATTGAAACATGTGCACAATTTTTGGAAACTAATCCACCATACATGCATAGACGTTACTTCGAAGAGTTGAGAACTAGGACTACAAAGTCAATGCCATCTATTCAGCAACCTCCTAAATTGGAACTCAAGCAACTACCACCACACCTTCGATATGCTTACCTGGGGGAATCTTCTACACTTTCGATTATTATTTCAAGTACTGTCAGTGAGGTGGAGGAAGAGAAACTACTTCGGGTGCTAAGGAAGAATAAAACAACCATTGGATGGTCGATTACAGATATCAAGGGGATCAGCCCGTCGCTATGCATGCACAAAATACTCATGGAGGAAAAATTCAAACCAAGCATTGATGGTCAGCGGAGATTGAATCCACACATGAAGGAAGTGTTTAGGGCTGAGGTATTGAAGTTGCTTGATGCAGCATCATCTATCCAATATCAGATAGTGCATGGATCAGTACAGTACAAGTTGTTTCCAAGAAAGGGGGTATCATAGTGATAGAAAATGAGAAAAATGAGTTGATTCCTACACGGACAGTGACTGGATGGAGAGTTTGCATCAATTACCGCAAACTAAACGTTGCTACTCGAAAGGATCATTTTCCACTATCATTCATTGATCAGATACTAGAGAGACTAGCAGGGCATTCACATTACTATTTTCTGGATGGGTATTCCGGGTATAATCAAATTCCAGTAGCACCTGACGATCATGAGAAGACAGCTTTCACTTGCCCTTACGGTACCTTTGCATACCATAGGATGTCGTTTGGTTTATGCAATGTTCCTGCAACTTTTCAGTGTTGCATGATGGCTATCTTCTCAAATATGATTGAGAAATTCATCAAGGTATTAATGGACGATTTCTCAGTGTTCGGGTCTTCATTTGATGAGTACTTGGAGCATTTGAGTCTTGTGCTACAGCGGTGTACAGAGACTAACTGGGTATTGAATTGGGAGAAATGCCACTTTATGGTACAGGAAGGCATCGTGCTAGGACACAGAATCTCAGCAAAGGGTATTAAAGTGGACAGAGCAAAGATTCAGGTGATCGAGAAATTACTGCCACCTACATACATGAAAGGTATTCGTAGTTTCCTCGGGCATGCCGATTTTTACAGAAGGTTCATCAAGGATTTCTCAAAGATTACTAAACTATTGTGCTATCTGTTGATGAAGGAATCCACATTTGAGTTCACAGATGAGTGTCTGCTCGCTTTTAACACATTGAAGGAGAAGTTGATTTCAGCACCCGTGATCATCACACCAAATTGGAATCTGCCATTTGAATTAATCTGCAATGCCAGTGATTATGCTGTTGGGGCCGTCTTAGGACAACGAAGAAATAAGATATTTCACATGATTTACTATGCAAGTAAGACCTTGAACGATGCTCAACTCAATTATGCCCCTGCAGAAAAAGAGTTACTTGCCGTAGTCTACACCTTTGACAAAGATCAAAGGTCATCGTTTACATAGATCACGCTGCTATCAAGTACTTAATGAAAAAGAAGGATGTAAAGCCCCATCTCATTTGATGGATATTGTTGCTTCACGAGTTTAACTTGGAAATCAGGGATAAGAAGGGCAATGAAAACGTGGTGGCAGACCACTTGTCTCGACTCGAGACCACAGTACAGATAGAAATAGTGGAAATCAACAAAGTCTTCCCAGATGAATAGATTTTTGGTATGGGGGAGATACCCTGGTATGCGGACATAGTTAACTACTTAGCCAGGTCTATCATGCCGCTTGATTACTCCAGTCACCAAAAGAAGAAATTTTTCTCTAAATTGAAGTATTATTTTTGGGAGGATCCCATTCTACACAGGTGGGGGGCTGATCAAATTGTTAGTCATTGCGTACCTGAGGAAGAAGTGCCTTTGATATTAGAACATTGTCATTCATCTACATATGCAGGGCATTTTGGTGCTTCAAAAATAGCAATAAAGATCCTTCAATCAGGTTTTTATTAGCCTACACTATTTAAAGATGCTTTTAAATTCGTGAAAAGGTGTGATCGATGTCAATGCACCAGTAATATATCTAGGAGAAATGAAATGCCTTTGAATAGTATCCTGGAGGTGGAACTATTCGACGTCGGGAGGATCGACTTCATGGGGCCATTTTCCCCATCCTTCTCTAATCAGTACATATTAGTGGCTGTGAATTACATATCGAAGTGGGTAGAGGTTGTTGCATTGCCTACCAATGATGGGAAGGTGGTAATTGAGTTCTAAGGAAACGTATTTTTACCCGCTTTGGAACACAATGGGCTATAATCAGTAATGGGGGTAAATATTTCTGCAATCATTAGTTTGAACAATTGTTAGCTAAATATGGCGTTAAACATCGTGTAGCCACTACTTATCATCCCCAAACCAGTGGACAGGTCGAAGTGTCAAATAAACAATTGAAGCGAATAATCGAAGTCACAGTAAGCTCGTCACGAAAATATTTGTCTAAGAAACTGGACGACGCCTTGTGGCCTATAGGAGTGCATTCAAGACCCCTATAGGAATGTCACCATATCGACTGGTTTTCGGGAAGGCATGCCACTTACCTCTTGAGATAGTACATCATGCTTATTGGGCAATGAAGAAATTGAATTTGGATTTGAAGGCTGTGGGTGAAAATGTCTACTACAACTTAATGAGCTGGACGAGCTCAGAATGGAAGCCTATGAGAATTCAAGGCTCTACAAAGAGCGCACAAAGAAATGGCATGATATTCACATTTAGAGGCAAGAATTTACGATGGGGCAGAAAGTGTTACTCTACAACTCTATGCTTAAGCTGTTTTCAGGAAAGCTGCGATCGAGGTGGTCTAGTCCGTATACCATTACACAGGTTTTTCCACATGGGGCAGTTGAGATCACTCACGATAGCAAGGGAACATTCAAGGGCAATGGATAGCATTTAAAGTACTATTGGGGTGGCAATTTTTCAAAAGAAAAGTCTATCGTTCATTTTCGATCACCAGAATGACGCAATACGGTAGAGTCGATCTATCGACTATAATCTAGCGTTGGGTGGGAGGCAACCCAATGTATCCTTTTATTCACTTACTTTTCACATAATTTTTAGAATTATTTCATTTTCGCATTTACATTTTTCTAGGTCATCGATCGTACATGCATGTTAATAGGATCGAATTATCATCTCCATAATTTCCTGGGCATTACCCACATTGGTCTGTTAGTTTGAAATGATTTTGGGGTGTTTGGGAGTATGATTCGTGCATTTCTAGGTAAAAGAACATTAATAATAAAAAATAATAGTAATAATTTATGAGGGAAATATCTTTTTTGGACTTCAGTATGTTAAAAAAATAATAATAATAATAATAATTTACGAGGGAAATATCTTTTTTGGACTTCAGTGTGTTAAAAAAATAATAACAATAATAAAATAAAATAAAATTTGGTCTATGCGACCACATAGACATATACCGAAAGTAATATTGGGAAAATTTTCTTCACTATGCGACCGCATAGAATTTAACTATGCTGCCGCATAGTTATAACCGATCATTGACTTAAGTCCAAGACCGGCTCATTCGAAGGGCAATCACCCCTCTTCATAGCACACCTCTCTCTCACCCTTAGGGCTTGCTACCGTCGTTTGACCACTCCCATACTCACTAACATTACTACCCCTAATTCATTTCATCAATCGATCTCACATTCATTACTTGTCCTCAAGGCACACAAGGTATTTTTTTTTCTTCCCTCCTTACATTTTGAATTTAGGTTGTAGTTCCTCCTCTTTTCTACTTGTGAGTTCGATTGAATGGGTGTGAGTTTGCTAGGGTCGGGCTTTCATAGGTGTTTTTATTCTTTCGATGATTACCATTTTCCAAGTGTTTTTCTAGTGGAGATGAATTTTTATTGCACACAACGTGTTCGATGCATTGCCTAAGTGATATTTGTTGTGCATTTTGACCAATCTCGCATTGGAAATCTACCTATATGTGTTCCCATATACATAGTGGTCAAATGCATAGTAATTGAGCTCGACCCACTCACTTACCCACATTGAGGCACATGTGTTAGACTCACGTCACTTCACCGCACCCACTTTGTCCCTTGCTTTAAATACCCATACGACATCGAATGTACGTGAATTTTGAATATGGCCTACTCTACACTGCATACTTTCATATGCCCAGAGGTTGCTTGGGAAAACTTCAAGTTTTCTCGATGATGTCCGGGGGCGAACATGCACACTTAATCATCGAGTTACTTGATTCATTTTGGTTGTTTGGACCTCCGTTGTGTGTAACTTGTTATTTTGCTTTCCTTTGACGTTCTTAAGCATGTCTTCTTAACCTTTGCATGTTACAACATGTACAATCATTTGAAAGGCCATGTATCACATCACATCCATTTTGCAACACGGGACATGGTTAGGTCACGGCATGTCACAGCACCCTACGTCCCCTACTTTCCACCATTATTTGGCATACCAAACGAAGTACATTTGCTTTGAAATTTGAATATGTGGTAGATCTCATTGAATACTCTCATATGCCTGGAACTTGCCCGAGGAAATTTCAATATTTTTCGACGATGTCCGGGGCCAAACTTGCGCACTCGGTCATGGATCCAATTTTTTCAAATGTGCTTGTTTTGGCCTAAATTTCCAATTTTTCACCTTGGCATTCTCTTTACACTATCCTCTTTGTCATATTTTGATAAGTAAACACCAAGGTGTTCTATATGCATGTTGAAGCATGTTTGGGGTATTTGTGAAC